ACAGGGCAGGGCAGGGATTCCCTCTAAGCAAAAATTACAGGGAACAGGGCAGGGCAGGGAAATGAAAATTGGAAAAAGTTGCATGTCTATTATAGATACTAAACTTTTGAAGGCTAACACGAGTTATACAGACTACACGTTATAGTAAACATCAATCTAACCATGATGATAGTGGTTTAGTACATTAAGGGCGACGTGCAAAATTTGATATACAACTTACATTCTGCAAAAAGTGTACAGGAATTTAGCATAGCTTTTAGTGTAGTGCATTGCGTGCATTCACGTATTACCAAGTATAAAAGTGGTTCACAATTATACTCACAATTCATAACAACTTTATAAACACATTATAAAAGTTATTTTTTGTATTCAGTAATATAGTAAAATATTTTTAGTGTATTCAATATGTTTTTTCTATTTCCTATAATTTATTGGATTTATTCAAATGCATTTATTTTGTTAATATCTTTATTCACATATTTTGTGTCAAAACAAATATATAATGAATATGAAATGCGTAAAAAGTTACCCCCGGGTCCTCTTGGGCTACCATTTGTCGGTTATTTACCCTTTCTTAAGAGCGAGCCCTCTAAAGTGTTCGTACAATTGGCCAAAAAATATGGACCAGTTTTTGGGTATGTTTTTAAATATATATTTTTAATATGTAAAATATTTAATCATGATGAAATTCATATCTAATAAAGCATTCAATTGGGTTCGTGTCCAGTAGTCGTATTGAATGACTGGCCGTCAATAAAAGAGGCCTTTTCTGATGAATCGGCGTTAGCCCGACCTAAGGATAATTTATTTACCGCTTTACTTCCACCGGGTATATGACATTAATATTAATATTAAACTAGTGTTGCCAAATAATACTTTGACAATCCTGAATAAATGCGAGAAAATTGTCAAAAATTCCTGTATTTTTTTGCATTACAGCTTATTTTCGAAATATTTAATCCTGTATTCTGTAAAAATTCCTGTATAAATGCAGAAAATTCCTGGATTTTTGGCAATGGCAATGCTTTATATTAAACATTTACAATAACTTATCATATTTTTAAGGCTTCGGAACAATGAGTGGTGACGTATGGAAAGAGCAGCGAAGGTTCGCTTTGCATCAGTTAAGAAACCTGGGCTTCGGTAAGACATCGATGGAGGACCACATCATTGATGAGATCAATCACTTGTCCAAAGAGATCGACAAAAGCATTGGACAGGCGTTTGATTTGCGGACACTTTTGCCAATTAGTGTCTCAAACAATATAAATTCGCTAACATTTGGCCGCCGTTTCGATTATACGGACCCCAGAAAGCAAATGATGGACGAGTTCTTTAAGCCCGACCCGAGCGTCAATTTGGCGGGCATTTTGTCATTTTTCCCCAAATTGGGTGGTTTTGTGTTCAGAAATTTGACATTTCTATTGCCATCCACTCTAAGAAATGTTAGAGTAAGACTCGAAGAGATCCGCACAATGATGAAGTATGTACTTGCTCGAACAGATTAAGCTAGATAGTATTTAATTACATTGTATTATAAAGTAATATTTTGCAACCAATTTATCTAGAACTGAACACGACAATCACGCGCAAACACTTGATAAAAATAATAACCGTGATTATTTTGATGCGTTTATTAATGAAATGCAAAAGTCATCGAATGGAGAGAAAACTACTTTTAATTGTAAATTAGATTATTGATGAATATTTATATTTTTAAAACAATCGTGATATTAATAGTTTTTTAAATTAACTAGATGACATGTTAGAAGGAAATACCTTACTGCTATTTGGTGCCGGTTCTGGTACAGTGTTAACTACCCTGGAGTGGTCACTAGTGATTTTGGCCGCTTATCCACAAATACAACAACACATCCAGAAAGAGATCGATGAAGTGATTGGCAAAGAGAGGAGTCCTAACTTTGCCGACAGAAACCAAATGCCATATTTGCAGGCATTCATGTATGAAGTTTGGAGGTTTAGGACGCTTACGCCAATTAATCTACCACGATAGTAAGTTTATATTTAATCTCTCTCTCCCTCTCTCTCTCTCTCTCTCTCATAATAATAATAATAATAATTTGTGATATCTTTCAGTGCGTCTAAAGATATGGTAATCTCAGGATTCAAAATACCAAAAGACACTCAAATAATGGCCAACTTTTGGGCCATTGATAACGACCCAAACCTATGGGAAAATCCATCGCAATTCAGACCCGAAAGACTTCTCAGCAACGATCTCAAGACATTCAAAAAACCGGAGCATTTGATCCCATTTTCATACGGTTTGTATAGATTTTAATGCAAATTATTGATTAAAATAGTGTTTAAAATGTTTGTGTGGATTAGGGAAGAGGTCGTGTCCGGGAGAGATCTTAGGAGTGGTCGAAACGTTTCTATATCTGAGTTCTTTGCTTCAGAAATACGATATCAATGCCAACCATAAAACCGATACAAGTCTTGAATACGAGTTCCAGTTCTCAATCACTCCTAAACAAAGTCCCAACATTTCATTCGCTAAACGAGTGCACAATTAGTATTATAGTTAATAACATTTTTATTTAAATATTATAAGTAGATATTATCTGTAGAAATATTTATTTTACCATATTGTTGTAGTAATTTTTAAATCACATTCTAATTCATATGAATAAGTAATGAGTTAATAAAAAACTAACGTTTGTCTTAAGTCAAATTACAACTAAAAATACGTTACTTCTAAAATATATTTATTTAATTTTCTTTTAAGTGATAATTAATAATATTTAAATGAATACCAGTTAAACACCGGTAATAACACTGATATAAAAAATTTATGATGGGTTTGGGCACTGATTCTTAGCCTCCCAGTGCTTATTGACGACAAGTTTGATGTATAAAATAGTGATCGATGCGATTAACACCTCGATTATGGCCTCTATCCACTCGGTCATTATCAGACAGGATAGAATGTCCATGGTGAGAAATATCAGCATAATAATCACCAATACTTTGCTCTCCTTTATTATG